TGTGGGTACCTGATGAAATACGGATTAATGCTGCATGAGCACTGAATAAATAAAACCACTTCTGTTAACCACTCAAACAAGTTTTACAAGTAGTTCTGAACTTTATTCGGCAACTAGACTTCAGACATCTTAATCCCCCCACACTGCTTTGAAACCTAATTATCATAATGTGAACCCGAATGTTAGGTCCCTTTCAAACTGCGAGTGCTATGAAGCAGAAAAGTAATGGGAATTAAGCTAGTGTAACATTAGAAATGTAAGGGCATGGAACTTGAAAGTGGCATTTGTTAAAGCTGAGAGAGTATAATGTAGATACTCAACAACATAAAACACACATTTAAATTGAAAAGGATATTTAAAGCATGTGCAGACACCTATAAAATACAAGTGGACCTAAAATCCTGTAGAACAAACATTTTCAAATCAATTTCTTGCCACCAAGGTCCAACTTCAAAAGGTATTAAACAGTCCTATTCTACCTTAGCAGAACATTTCTAAGTATTCTAAAGCAGACAATTTAAACATTAAAGAAAATCCAATGAGAACTTTACAAGACATTACAGACTTTCCCTCATTTGTCACAGTACAGAAGTGTTTGAACTTAAATAGCAATAAATTATTAATTACATTGCTTATAAAGCCTCAAGAGGCATAGAAGTTTTTGCTGAAAGTGGCAGAAAAGGACTTTGTATCAAGTTTAAAACCAAATATAACAGAAATTAAACACCAAGACATCTAAAAAACAACAAAAACAAAATATACTTGCCTGGCTGCATTCTTTACTGTTTAATGAAAACTACTAACAATTCACAATACCTAACAAACTTTCTTTTAAATATGACCTGAAATACTTTATTCTGAGTGTGCATTAACTTACGAAGCTCATAAGAAAAGTCAGGCCAGTAACAATGTTTATACTGTGACAATGAAACCACTGAGGCTGAAAGAAAATTTGTGATTTTATTTTTCCAAACACGATGATTGAGTTGTTCGTGTTGTCCTGCTCTAGCACAGCTCACCTGTCATTCAGAAAGCTTTCAATTCCAAGATGTCTACAACCACCAGCAATCAAAGAAAAACAGTTGCAGTAATCGAAACACGGAATGAGATTCCTGAAATATTTTTCCAAGATTTTCATTTAATCCAAAAAGGCCAATGAAATCCTAAAAGTTCATCATCTGCCATGTTAATGCTGAACGCACTGTTGTTTAATTTACATTTCTGGTCCTGTTAAAACAAATACACTTCTCTAAAACAGAACATCTGTTTTGGTTATAATACAATGTATCTTTGGCAAGAACTCACAATAGAACTAACATAAATAATCAAGACTATTTATTGAACCTTGTAACAAAAACTGATTTGTAACAAAAAACTTGAAGACTAGATATGACTGTCTCTGGGCTCTAGTCCAGTCCTAATCTAAGTCAATAAACATAGCTCTAAAAGGGAAACTACAGTAAAAAAAAAAAAAGCAGTAAGTCCTGCAGTTATTTAGGTTGGATGTAGGTATCTAAAAGCATGTTGGTTACAAAAATACTAAAAATATTTGCTTTAAATCAAAAACTGTCAAACTGAGTCCAGAGAGGTTTTAAAGCCACACAAAAAATCATGCCATATGCCCCATTTCCTACTACTGTCTTCTCTGACTTCTCTTCTCTTGGAAATCTTCACTAAACTATAAAAAGTTTGCACTTGCCATTGCTGAGGATTTGTTATTTTAATTGCTTGTTTTTCTTATATTTATTAGCACTAAAAAAAGACAAAACAGTCATCAAATAAAAAATTGTGATGTTTTTGAGAGAAAGTGAAATGAAGAAAATTATTTTGGAAGTCTCTTTTGATACTGATACAACTTAAATATTTTAAAGTGAGAATCAGTTATTTTGATTCATGCCACACAAGCTTAAAAAAAAAAAAAAGATGAAACAGTGTTCTCATTAAAGTCTACAGTTAAGGGCTCGCTAGAGTCAGATCACGAAGCCAAGAAATAACTTCATGCACAATTCTGAAATTATTATACAGGACTTTAGTAGTAAAGAGACTATTTCAGAATGTACTGCACATACGTGCAATCAATTAAGGGTTCAGTTGGTTATTATCATTAACCTTCATTAGAGTCCGTACCTGTCTAGATTATTTGTGCATGCATCAACTGCACACACCTTCTTTCTAAAGTAACAGACTCTATTATTATCTCATTTCCTTGGAAATACATGATCCAAATTCCAGACGATGAAGTAGTCACAAAAGTATGAACAGATTTTTTTTTATAATCATTTCTGATCCTATTCTCCACTTCTTCTAACAAAAAAATTAAGTAGTTTCATATTACAAGTTTTATTTGCCAAGGAAGCTGAAGTCTGTAGTTCCTCTCTATCAGCCACCTTTCTGAATGACAGCTTTAGAAGTTGATTGGGATTTTGTTTTTAAAGCACTATAAAACAATCCAGCCTCATCTGCCAAGCCGTTTTACATTTTTATTCCTTTAAGGAAAAAGATAGTAAATGCAAATACAATTGGCAATTCTCTGAAACTTGCACACAGCAATGAACTGGGTTTTGTTTTGCTGGGCAAGGATTTCCACATCCATGCAGCTCAGTGTATCACTGCGAGAAGCTGAATCCTTGGGAAATGCTATCATGTTAGCAGGAACTGGCTCATTCTGTTCCAGTTCAGGTACTGGAGGGATTTTGTTGTGTTCTGTTGTTGGTGGGTTTTGTTTGGTTTGTTATTTTGTTTTTTGGGGGTTTTTTTGTTGTTTTTTTTTGTTTGGGTTTTTGTTTGGGTTTTTTGGTTGTTTTTTTTTTTCAGTTGAAACACATTTATTTGTAAATCTATTTTTTAGTTACAACTGCAACCTGCTGAAGCAGGTCTTTAAAAATGAATTGTCCTAACATTACTTGAATTGTTTCTTAGAGCTTTTAATTGAAAAACAATTTATAAACATTACTTGATCCAAAAGCATACCATAGGTTTCCATAGAACTGATTAGAGATATGACTGGGGGTTGGACTAGATCTCCAGAGGTCCCTTCCAACCCCACGTCATTCTGTGATTTAGCCTATATATAAACAAAGCTCTCATTTTGCCCCATCATGAGAAAATGACACAATCAAGGGAAGACTTTGCACGTGGAAACAGAAAAGTTTTTTGTCATCTGAGAGCACATGGTCTGAGAAACATTTTCTATTTAAACAAAATCAGAGGATCAGCAGAGCACACTCTTCCAAGTCAGCTTTCATAGTTTCCCTCAAGAGGTATAGCAGCTCTCACAATGTGTGCCTACTGTCACCTGTTGCTCAAATGCTAATTCTGTACTAATTGCTCCTCATTTAGCAGGTACCACATTTCTTTTTTAACACAGACTGATATAAATTCCAGGCAGTTCACTGGATTATCAGAAGTGGGGGAGTGGATGCCTGGACTCATCATTTGTTTCTGTTACTGAGAAATACGTTTCAGAAAATCACGTTCAGAAATCACATTTCAGAAAAAGTGAACAGTTAGAAGATTATCTGTCACTAGAAAAAGCAACCAACTTGGTAACCTTACTTCTTCCTTAGAGCATTTATAGTAATTCCTATTTCGCAAGAGCTTTTATAAGTTCTAAGAAATTGGTAGCATTATATCAATACTAATAATCAATACCACTAATTATTTTGTGAATTCTGTAATCTTGAACTATAAACATTGGAAAAAAACGTTAAAGCAAAAGAGGGAAACAGTGAGAAAATCATGCATCACAATCTTATATAAATAATTTTTTCCTGTGTAAGCTAAACAGTTATTTACATTTTGCAGCATATGATCAATAAATAAATAATATCACTTATGTCCATGTAATGGATTTTTAAAATATATGAAGTGAACAACAGTGAAATTAAACATTTGCCAAAAACCACACATTATGAAGTGTTTTCCACTCTCTACAGTCATTAAAAATTCACTGGTTTTGAGTTGGATTCAGGAAAGAGGATGCCTAATTCTTCAGAAACTTGACCAGCTTCCTTCCTTTGAAAATAATTAAGATCAGAAACCCCTACTACGTCTCCTGAAATTAAAAGGAGATTTAAGTATCAGATTTTGCTGCCAATTTTCTTCGGAATCTTAGGAACAAAGAACTAACACAATTAAATGATAGCATAAATTAGTAGTAGTAATATATTTGTGGAACATTGCTGTAAGACAACTTCCTAACCTATGGAGAAAAAGCTCCATGAAATGTATGCTGTAGTTTGAACAGATAAAGGACAAAATTTTTTCAAAAAATTAGGTAACGTAGTTCAGTATGTTAAGACACTGAAAAATAAATACTGCTGTTAAACTTCAGCCCAAAAGATAATCCAAGGTAAACCACCAAAATGCTTTAAAAAATAATTGTGTGAATTAAAAAACAGAGCAGCTCTACAGGGAGAAAAGAAAGTGATACAGTAAAATTTCCATCCAAAGCAACAGCAGAATAGTTCAGTTTGAATTCAACAAACTAACGGATAAAATTTTGAAGATTAAAGAGGATAAATACCTTCACTACTTTCTGCTAGGTATTAATAGAGTATTTATTTCCAGACCACTTAATACTCGGGATTAGCAAGCATTCCATGACATAGTCCAAAAACACAAGCTTTATCATTTGCATTTAAGCTTCATTTGTCAATAAATGGACACACAATGCCAAACACATGTCCTTGGCTGTTTGAGCTGCTATTCTCACATACTTTGTTACAATGATAATAGCAACAGAGTGAACCTCAGGAAGAGAAAATAAAATGCTTCAGTGAGCCTGTCTTACTGACTCAGGAGAACTACTGTCATGCTCCAAAGAGCTACAGCCATTTTCCTTTGGCTAGAAGGATGTGTCAAGTTTGACTCAAAAAAAGACAGACAAGGCAATAAAAAGAAACACTTCAAAAAAAAAAAAACCACCTACATTTAAAGCTATCTGGTAAGTTAAAAATATGTTGAACAGATGAGTAAGGTAGCAAGCAAAGCAATCTTACCAATAAACAACATCCAGTGGTGCAAAATATTTCTTCATAATTAAGTCAGCAAAGAAAGCTTCTGTTTCTCTGCAGGCCGTGCCATTGCCAATCACAATAGTGCTACAGCTTTACGTGAGGTAAAAAGATGAATGTTTACTCTTAATTATTCTTTCAGACTTTTTCATACATAACATTCAATGCACAACAATGACCAATACATCTTATTTTATGTAACGCAAGGCCTGGGCTTAATGAGAACTTATTTCTAGGAATATCACATTGCATTTAATAGATTTTCCATGTGACAATTCAAGAGATGAGTCAAAATTTTCACTCATTTGTAATGGAATGGAGCAGTGGTAATATCTGCAGAAAAACCAAAAATGATGCTTCATAAGAGAAATGTAACGTTACTTACAGTCCTCAAACCCTTTCACCTCATATTTCCCTCACCTGTTATAAGTTGTTAAAAAGGGCAGAAGCCAAAGCCATCAGAATTTTAATTCCTTAATGGGAACATCACAGTCTGCAACAGCTTGCGAGGTGGTTGCCTCTGAGTGCCCCAGCCAGTCAGCCAGCAAATCACCTTGTTTAAACCCAATCTAATGCTTAAAATCCAAACCGGACTGTGTGCTGTGGCAGTTCAGCAGCTGACTCAGTGGACCAGTTGTCTGTCCACAGGGCATCCCAAAACAGTTGGATACAATAACCTTTTAATCATGCTGCCCCTACTTGCAAGTCCATCTGGATATCTATCTAAGCAGAATTTCATTAGCTTAATAAAACTCTTCCAAAAACTAAATATGGCTTTTGGAACAGGGAAAGATCAATGACTGATTTGGGGGCTAGAGGAGGAGGAACAGTGAGGCTAAACTTATTCGTTACCTGAATGTTAGTTTCTATTCCTAAAAATAAATGGACTGACTGAGCTTTATGGGATTACATTATTAGCATGCAGCCTTAGTCATAACCATGGCTTGATTTCTTATTATTCTAACATATACATAGCATAAAAGCATGAACATAGACTAAAAGAAAAATAACCTCTGAACTACATTAAAAACAAGTAATTCCAGGTAAGTCAGTAGAATTCTTATTTCACCCAAAAGTATTTATATATTGAAGATTTTCATTATGCTTGGTAAGAAAGAATAATAAAAGGAATTTTATTTAGCGTACTTGTGCTGTAGCAAAAGCCTCTTTATCTTCTCAGCTTCACGAAATCCTTGACCAGAATGCAAGTAAACGACATCAGTATGGAGTATCTGACCTAGAATAACGAAAGGCAAAGCCATAACTAAAGTTAATTTAATGATTTACAAAGAAAGTTTCTTAATAAGCTGTCTCTCCCTTCTATTTTTGCATCCAATTAGAAGAAATGTATGGTGGGCAGAGGACAAAGATGCTTTGTCTGCCAAAGCAAAACAAGTTGTTAGATATTCTCGTTTCCTGGGGACACATCCAAGTAACAAATAAGGAGCAACGAGTCATATTAGGCAAATAAAGTGTATTATATTATCAAAGAGAAAAACAGCAATTCACTGCAAATAATTTATTGCTCTAGTCTAGTACATTTTACAGATCCAGTAGAGAGAGATGAAAATTAGGAATGCAGTCTCAGGACTTACAGTCCAGGAGCTCTGAAATTCCAATGCCAGCTCTTGCCATCATCCCATCTCTAACATTGGGAAATAATTGTATTCACTGGTACTGACAGCTTATTGTGCAATGCAAGCTAATAACCATTTACCTTACCTTTACTGCCATTTTAATACGTGTCAAGAACACATCTTTGCTTACATTTTTACATGGGCCTAAAGAGGTATGTATCCCCAGATCAGACTAGAATGAAATGGAAAGGCTCTGTTCTATATCCGTCTAAAAACTGAACTAAAAAGTTCTGCAAACACAACGTTTCTGACTTCTCATATTAACACACATACTACTAAACAAAAACGGCTGATAAAGTGTCCAGACATACAAGATTATACCCATGAAAAAAGCAGTTACAGAAAGTATTTAAATTCAAATTCTTTATTCAACAGTAAAAACTTCAGGTGTTCTCCTTGCTAACTACTGAGAAGCACAACTATTTGAACCTGTATTCAGGAAGGCAGAAGGGATTTTAAAATTGATTTTAGAAAGGAGTAGTAACACCAAAGGAGACCAGGTGCCAGAAAATTAACCATAAGCCTGAAGAAAAGAATTTGCATGACAGGCTGCATGGAAAACACTGAAAGCTTAACAAAAACACCCCCCACTTGATAAAGAGGGATTTGAAACTATTCTTTCCTCTAAATTAATATATTTTTATCAGTCCTTGCAAAAATATTTGGAATTGAAACTTACTGGTTGGTGAAATAATTGCCAACTTGCAGCCATGCTTGTAGCCAGGATCAACTCCCATCAAAGTACGGCCCCTCACCGGGCTGGTCAGAAGCAACTGCCGGAGATTTCTCCCAAACATCATCACAGATTCTTTCTCTGCATCAGATGTCAACTTTGATCTTAGGATGAAAACAAGAAACATTTTCCCCTGAATTAGCTTTCAAATGCACTTTTTAATTGCCCCAAAGTTGTAAGGCTTTTTCCAATCATGTTTTCATTATCTTTAATTAAATATTACACTTCCAATCAAGTTTTTGGCACTTTTTTTAAAAGAATGAACAGCTATATGACCATCTCAATCTGCTTCTAAGAAAGTAAAGCAACATGAAGAGTATAACAGATACATCTATAAGAATGCACACATACCAACTAACATTCAAACATCAACTCATAATTTTTAGCAAAGAACAGCTTCCCGTCAAAGTTGATACCTAATGGCAAAAAAAGTGGATTTGAAGAAAGCATGGATTGAATTCTTCATAGTTTCCCAGTTCTGGAGAAAAATCATTACCCAGGGGGAAAAAAAAAAAAAAAAAGAACATTTAGGCTGAGAGGTACTAGAGAGAAACTGGAAGGGCTTATCCAATTAATTGCTAAGACACCATGACTCATGAGGCATTTAATTTCATCTACTGAATACATTATTTAACAGTCATCACAGAAGTGTGTAGACTTGAGATATTTCTAGGAGGGTATTCTGCTTCCTCAGAACGAAGCTAGAAAGCTGATGGGGCCATGACAGTCCCTACCTTTCTTTTCCGTGTTCTTCAACAGAGAGAAGTGAGTTAGTACCGCAAGGATTGACTTTGATGACTTCAAACAAGAACACTTACTGCAGAATGTTATGAGAAACACATCAGTCTTGTTGAGTGAAGGCGCACAAGATGCACAGTATCTTATTTGTCAGACGTGGCCAGTAAGACTATGACTGATAAGGACAAGTATTTTTGTCACGGTATGGCTTCTTATGTAAAAAAAAGCAAAAATGAAAAAGTAATGGGGACACAAATATTTGTTACCTAGCTGATTTTTTTTTTTTCTTTTGCAGGTACTCATTGCCATTTTCAGCTGCATTACATTGTCAGTAACTACAATAATTAGGCAAAAGGAATGCTGTAAGGCCTTCATGTAACTTAAAGGGTAACCAGTGCCCTTATTCTCCTTTTCCTTTTACCCATCACTAAAAAAAGTAGTACCTGGGTTTATTTTTACAGAAAAAAAAAAAAGACATGCGTTCCACTTAACTAATCCTATAAGAATGGGGCAGGGGAAATTACTCAAGTTGTTTAGGTCAATCAATGCATGACTAGCAGGTTATAAACAGTTTAAAGACAATCCTCATAAGGGCTATTTGACATGATGGGATATAAAGCTGTTCTGAGCAATATTCAGATGTGGAAGAACTTAGAAGCCTGTCTTGAATTTGCCCAGGATCCAAGCAAACAACCAGCTCAGCCCTGTCTCATCCCACGGTGGTACAGAAAGAGATGTTATGTCCTCATCTAATTCTAGACCACTTTAAAGATGAGAGACTGTCTAGATTCTCTTTCATGCATTATTGATTGAACATTTTCTAAGGAAGCGTACAACAGCAAAAGGCTCCCTCACACCCCCGTGCTTTTTGGTTCTGTATCAAATGTACCAAATTAACACAGACATGATTTAAAGTGAGATGTCAGAGGGTATATATTCATCCTAAGACTCCTTAGCAATTCCAACATGCCCTCAGCACCGATAAGCACACACTGTATATTGCCACCACTTAAGAATATGGGAATAGCTGCAGTAGTTCAGGCAAGCGGTCCCTCTGTCCCAGTACCCTGTCTCCAAGTGTGGCTATAAGCAGCTGCCCTAGGAGCTCATACAGCAGCACTAGTATTCCTGACCTGTCTCACAATCTCATCCTAGCCTCCAGTTATTTCCAGCCCAGAGTATTTCCTGTGTTTGACATGGTTTGTCTCTTTAGTAGCCCGTAACAGATCTCTTGTCCAACTACCCAGTCTCCTACTGAACCCATGCACGTTTCTTGCATCTATGTAGTCTGTTGGCAGCAAGTTCTGCACATCCATTACAAACTCTGCAAATAGCTACAGCCTTTTGGTTAGAAGCTGATTCTTTTAAATTTTTATGGCTGTTTAGGTCTTGTACTGGAAGAGAGTAAAATTTTTTCCCTAGAAACCTGTGCCACTTTACACGCCATTCATCTCTAAGTCTTTTATTTTCCAAGCTGAAGAGTCATAGTCTAGTCAATCCTTCTTCAAATAGAAATTATTTTATACCTTGTTCCCCTTTTCCAGTTTTAATGAATCTTCCATTTCCTATTTTATGCCCAAGGTGAGGAGACCAAAATGACCAATAACATTCTAAATATGGGCCAGCTATATCAATGGTTCTGTTTTATCTTTATTCCTTAATTAAACAATCTTACCTTCTGAGCTCTTAATAATGTTTTATCTTTATTCCTTAAACAATCTTACCTTCTGAGCTCTTAATATTTATGTAGCGCTCCCTTCCACATTGCCAAAGTATCTTTCCTGAGTGTCAAGGTAGCACAGAGCTCGTAATTTCTATATAAAGAGAGAATTACTTCCCCTTGCAAGCATTGCTTTACACTCCTCTCCACTGAATTTCAGTTGCCATTTCACTTCCTGGTCATTGAGACTTGGAGCATCCTTCTCCCATTCTTAAAAAAATTAAACAAAAAATAACCCAAGCCACAGAATAATCTTCTTCCATCTAGAGGTGTTGGTTGAATTCTAGCTCATATATCATCAGAACAATTTGATGCCATTTGTGAGAGACCAGAGACAATAAAGCAAATAGCTACACCTCACAACCATATGGATCTTCTACATACACGCACAACAGAGATTCAACCAGCCACACGTGCATAGGAACAAAGTTTAAAAGTGGCTTGTAAAGAAGGGAAGGCTGAATCCTCTTGGACTGGTGGCTTTGTACAAAGGCAGGTCAAGTTCCAGTTTCCCATCTGCCCCAGAGATACAGGGTCCCTATTGCCCACAAGGCCAAGTCCTCCCACACTGCAAATTCACATCAGTCCACCTGCAAAGGGAGACTTGTGCAGGAATTAAAATTGCCCCTAAACACATGCTATTAGTTAAGTGCACCTTATGGAAATCATGTTTAAAATTGGCATGGATATGCAGAAACTTTTATAGTAACAGGAAATGTTACTGCAAGTGCCAGGTGCGTAGGGGGAGCATAACGTATGTCCTTTCTATTACATAATATCCTGTATTTTTTAATTTCAAATATAGACCTCTCTTTTCTCTCTAACTGTCTCTCACTCAACACTTGTATCAATGACATGATCTACTGTCCTAAGTCCTGGCCCTTAATTTCACGTTCGGGGTAGTCATTTGACCCTCGAACAAATATCAAGCTACCTCAAACAATCTAATATCTTTCTGTTTTTCAGTACACTACTGGCTCCATCCAAATGGCAAGATGCCCAGCTTCATGTTTTTCCAATTTGTGACAATTCTCATTAATATGGCAGAGATATAAGGCAGAGGCGGATAGCAGTCCTCTCTAAACACAAGAGGAACAGTTATTTTGTAAAAAAACAAAACAAACCCCTTCTGTTGCTACTTTATGAAAAAGTATCAACCAAGTCAGAATTTCAAGCCCCTCCCTTGAACTCTATGAAGCACTCAGCCTGTAAATCACTAACAAGTGTATTGTAATAAAAGCGAATAACCTAATCATGACCTACTAGGTTTCTATATTCAATGTTCTAAGAGTCAGTTTTTAAATTGAGATTTAAAACTCCCCACTTCCATATACAGTCTGAAAGGCAATCCTTTTCATGGAAAAATATCTGCAAACTAGCTTCAGGTGCGAAACAAGATATACAGAGAAATGTTTGTGTCTCTTAAGACACAGGAGAGAAAGCACTCACTTCAAGAAAGTATGGAAAATTAGGAAAGGATTATCCATTAAAAAAATATGTCCGCGCCACATCACTTGCATCAAATCCTGATGGAATCATTCCATGCAACAAAATAAAATGTATTTCAAAGAGCCAAAAGCAACACTGGACATTATTATACCAGATACAAGAAATGATGGCATCTGACAGAGTGGAAGAAAGGAAATTAAACAATAAATAAGGTAACTGTCTTGCTGGCAAGTTTCATTCTTCTGATCACTAGAAGCACCAGAAATTTCAATGTGCTCTTGGAAACTTTCTGTTCCAGCATTTAATGATAATAAAAATAAAATAAAAAAAGAACAGTGGGGGGTGAGCTGGAAATATTAATGCTAAAAAGTGGTATTGAATACTTTAGCAGCCCTATGCAGCAGTCCTAAAAATCAGTTTCTGGTGTGGGCGGAAAGAGAATAAAAGAAGGATAAGGGTTAAGTAGTCATGGACCAGGAATACTACTGGCAGGTGCTTTGCATTCCTCTCTACAGGAGATGTTTCAGCTTTTCCTAACCAGACACCACTAATCACGCAAAATTATCACAAGATTAAAACATAAGCAGACATCCACTCAGGAGTAGGCAGCAAGCTTCGTATTCTTTGCATTTATGACTTGTGAGCTACATCTACGAAGGGAAGGAAGCTTTTTTTTTTCCAGATTAAGAGAACGGAAAACTTCCAGCAACCTACTGCTGCAGCAGCCCTGACAGTGTTATACACAGCACACAGGTCACAACAGTCCTGTGGTAGGAACTATGAAGCAAAAACACAATAAAAGAACTTTGAAGAACCCCTATGCCAGTTTGCTCATGTATGATAAAACCAAACCCCACTAAAAAGTAAGTCTTTTTTCTTTATTTTAAAAGAGTCTGATTGTGGAGAAGCCTAGGAATGACAAATACTTTCATACGCGTGACAGAATCTAACAGTTGGACTCACTGTCATGAGACGTTCATCATTTTGGCCAAAGCATAGACACAGTGCCTCCCCTAAAGTATCTAAATGTATTGTGGTCAAACACCAAAAAAAGCGAACTCAGCACTTTCAAAAAAATCTGTGAAATTCATAGTAGATAAAAACCAGGCTCACTCATCAGAAGACGTGAAGCAATCTTACTTACAATGTAATGAGCAAATACAATATGATGAAGAAAACCAAAAGCCATTAGAAATACCTGCTGTTCAAAACCTGAGCTGCCAGTTCTTTTGAGAGGGGAAGAACATAGAACATCCAGCCAACGATGCTCATGAAAAAAAGAGTGCCAGGAAAACAACTCCAATTTGAACAGAAACAAAATTTTACAGCCAGGCAGGTACAGAAGAACTACATGACAGAATGTGACTGCTGATCACATTTAGGTACTGAATAATAACCAACACACATCATTTTGATAAAAGTCACGTAAACATTTCTGGTCCAAGAAACAGGGTCTCTTTGATAAACTCCATTTGAACTACCTCAAAACAGGTATTAAAATTTAGGTCACATATCAGAGAGCCTTGCCAGTATCAAACATATTATGCTTTGGGGAGCTTCTTGTATTCAAGAGAAGAAACACACCATCAGTATTGCTCACCATTAAAAGATAATTTTAGATGTAGAGTTTTTGACATTAAATAATTTCTATCATGCGGTAAACTCCTATATTACATCATGAAAATATCCTCTTTAATTAATGTTACTTAATGTCAAAGTTTTAAATTTCCTTCCAGTTTAGAACAATATTACAAGTGACACTGTCTGATGACATCATTACTACAGTATCACCAGAAATGAATTTACTGACTTCTCTAGAGCCATCACAATACCCACAAAATGGTATCAGACTAACACTATGACTAATTCATTCATCACAACACACAGATGACAAACATGAGGGACACTTCCAAACTCAACAATTACTTTGCTGGTTTCTTTCAGACAGGCAAAAGAAAAGGAAATAGAAAAACGTCAGTGACAGTACTGTCGCTGTGACATTAACAGGTGCTGGGAAAATTCAGTGACGATGTTTTATGCTAATACAAAGATAAAGATTCAACTATTATGATAACATAGATCTAAACTGTTCTTTATTAGATAAATGTACAAGAAACAAATATGTAAATATGGGAAACGTCGTCAAAGAAAGATAATTTCTTTACTGTAGCCTAAACTGGATAGGGACACAAACTGAATTTACAGAACCAAGACTACACAGTTCATTTCTTCTGTAAGCACAGAGGATTAAAAACATGCTGGTATTTTCAAATGGATAAAAGATATTCTAATAAAAAGTTGGGGAGGGAATATTTAAGAAACTGGTGGTATGAAAAAACACATTCATTCTGGGCTTACCTGAATTCTCTACAGAGGAGAGGATATATAAGGCGCTTATATGCATCCTCTACTGAATTCCGTAGTATCCTCATTAATTCTGGTTTTAAAAACTGTTTTGGTCTCCACCTGCAAAAAATAGAAAAAGAAAAAAATCAAAAAATATTTTAAGAACATATGCAAAAACTCAGATAAAAAGGGAATTTTCAAAACAAAAAGACTTCTACATTGAGTGTAATGTTCTATAAACTGCAGAATTACTACAGTAATTAGGCAATGAAATCATAGCTTCAAATATGAATAGAATGAGAAGTTGCTCAGGTTTTGCTGTCAGACATGGGACCTATCTTTTCTTTTTTTTTTGTAGGTATTAGAATGCAGTCATATTTTATCTTTTAAATAAAATATTTACAAAATGTTACTCTTCACTTTAAGAAGTCAAAGCTTACTATACCTGAATTAAGGACTTGGTTCCATATTACCACTAGTGTTGCATTATTTGCTATTCCTTTATACATAAAAAAAACTAATAAATATCTTCTGTGTCACTGCAAAGTTATTGGTGTAAGGCAATTGTGTCCAGACAGAAATTCAGGAGCTAAACTAACATCAATTAATGAAACTCAATTCATATTTAATTTGGAATGCTTTAACTATCTCTATTCAAACTCAAAAAGAAATCTATCAGTTTTGCAGTAGTCCTTAAACAAAAAATAACCATTTACAAATTTTTTTTCTCTTCTACCTGTTGCTGATATATTTAAAGTATACATAATATTTTAGAAAAACAGAAAATGAAATAAACAATACCAAACACACATAAGTCTATTTCCCAATTTTTTCTAAGCCGAACTCTTTGGATCATTCCCTTTTCTAAGGAGACTTCACAGTGATCATTGCCATAAAGGCGATTACTTCAAATTTTGTCCTAAAATACACCTCAGTTTTTAAGCTCCCCAGAACCGAGATACCAGGTATTTATTCCACTGATTTTTTTATTTTGGGCAATGTTACTGGTGGGGAAAGGAGTAAGTCCTTGAACACGCACAGCTGACTGAGTTTGTCCACCCAACAAGAAGGGAGAAAGATTGAGGAGATGCAGCCAGATATCATATTTCTGTTTGAGTAAACACTATCAACATTTTCTATTACAGTCCACCTGTTTTACTTTTTTTTTTTTAAAATACTGGTAGCATTCTGAGTTTTCTTCATTTCATGTATTTTTTTTTACATGCCTGGGTCACTAACTGCAAAGTGAGATACATATATTTTTTTAATGTGCCTGGGTAAGTTTGGTAAGTTTTTTTATTTGTTCGGCTGGGTTTTTTTAAAAATGCAACATCATAGAAATATGGCCATTTGATAAAGTGTCCAGGTGCAGGCCGAGGCAAATACAGGACTGAATTTCACTTTTAACTTCACTTACTTGCACTCACTCAAAAATACTGAGAATGCTAAATTGCTCCTACCAAGACAGCTTTTCAGTTGTTTTAGGGGATATACAATTTCCTGAAACCGCTTTTCCAAGTGTCTGTGCATATAATAGTTGAGAAATGTGTGATCGAGTCAACACTGCATTAACACAGACAGACATGGAAGTGGAATTGAGCTTACCATTTAGTTTTACAACATCCAGAGTTGTGAGTGCTTAGCCACATGACCTCATCACTTTGCTAACAGTTTTTGCAAATAGTTCTATTATACTTATTTGTAACTAGAGACTCTTTCCATACCTATATAAAACTGGCAAAAGCTTTAAACCCTCTTATTGGCATCCAATTCTATAAACATGAAGTTTTTACAGGTGGCAAGTATGACTACACTCCCCCAGAAAGTATCCTCAGCGCAAATACGAATGAATTTGGAAACCTGGCAGCTGTTTCCCCCTCTCTTCCATCCACTAAAGCTAGTTAACAAAACTTTCTTCTGTAAATAGGTTATCACAGCCAATATTTTTATTACCTGCATACATACAAGTAAAAATTAAGGCAACATTCTATTAGAAATTGCTACAAATGCAAAAATATCCAAATAGCAAGTTCAAACATAGCAAGTACTGCATTTTAATCATTCCAATACTTCATGAGAAAATAGAAAAATCCACTTCACTGCAAAAACCAAAGCAAAAGCACGTGTGTATATTTTTAAAGATCATCGCAGCCTAGTTAAGCTTCCCTCTAAGAACAGATTTTTCTTGATTATTTAATCAAGAGCTGACTTTTGGAGCCCTTCAAATTAAGCCCTATTTAGAAAAACTTCATACAAATAATATCATCTTACTCTCCTCATCAGCTCTCCACGTGCGTGTGCTGACAACAGGGACCACCATAAGCATAAATGGCTTCGACAACTGATACACCTCAGAGGATGAAACCATATTTCAACAGAATTAACACGCCCACGTTAAGAACCACTAGTATTAATTAACAACTGTTGCAGAAAGAGCACAGCTAGCCTTTTAGACCTGACACATAAAAAGCAGAGCTTTGTTTTCCTCAAAGACAATATATGAAACTTGTAACAAAATGGTAATGAGAAAAAAAAAAATAGGCTTTTAAGGCCTGTACCATGGACTTTACACAGGATCTTAGAATTTTGTCTGGAAACTGAAAAAAGGTTGTTGAACACGAAACTTCATTTTCAAGTCTGCAATCTCACTTCAGAAAAAAATCTGGCCCCCTCTCCAGGAAGAAGTCCATGCTGCCCTTACACTCAAAGCCAGCTAAGCAGCCCCTCTCCACTTTTTTGCATGGCTCCTTTTTTCGTGTCCCACTTAACAACTAAGTCTTTGGGACCAGTGCAGTTCTAGTGTGAAAGGAGCTAGGTTTGCTGTCAAACCAGAGATGCCACCCATGACACCATCTTCTGGGGAAAATTACAGTCCATAGGGCCAGGCGTAAGGATATTCCCGAGTTTTCAGCACAAACTTGAATTTTAAGGAAATACAGATGCTTCTACTAAGGCTAATAAGTATTCTGAACTTGCAAAGAAAAAACAGTCATCTTAGAAAGCATCTACGTAGAGCTCAACGAAATAATGAAGAACTGTAGTCTTCCAAACCCACTTTCTATCATGGGAACATCTAATGTTAAAAAAAAAATTGCCTCAGAAGAACACATAAAGGTCAGCATATTTGTTACTAATTCAATAGGGAGTGGGAGATACTATTTTGTGGCTAGAATACTGGCCAAACTGTGTAGCAACATGGCATTTCTGGTTCTGCAACTCATTTTGTGTGTGACCTTCAGTAAATTAGTTAATACCATTGCAAAGTTTTGAAATCCTTGCCTCAAACAAAAGTTTTTAACCTTCTGCTCTCACCAGTACATCCATGCGATGAAAATAATGCAACTCCCACACTTGGACAATCATTTTCCAAGCTTGCAGGGCAGAATATGCATTTACTACTTGTCCATTCAATAACACACTTGTCAATCTAATGAGGAAGATCAGAATCTGTCCTAGATGTTAATGCACCAAGATTCACTAAAATCATTCCTTCTGAAGTTTGTGATGGTGAAGTTATCCTTAAATAGTCAAAAGCCATAAGCACATATAGCCTCATGAATGCTAAGTATTAATAAGTAGTTCCGTTTCCAAGGTCAATATTCTTGTTATCTCAGGATGACTCACAAAAGTGTAATCAACCAAAAATATCTCCATTTACATCCCACTTTCATTTGTGTAGCAGTGACAAGCTGTTCCATTATCTGTGGCTAATAGTGCTTCCAAATTCTGTCATAGACGCAGTAAAAGCAAGACTGACAGATAAGTTCTGCCTACAGAATATACATCTTGGGAGGAGGTCTGAAATGCCATTACAGATATTAAAACCAGAATAAAACTTAGGAGTGTTCAGGAATCCTGATGCTTTCCTGGGAAAAAAGAAGTTTCTTACTATTGGTTCTAGATCATATTATGTTATCTAGCCAAACGATATTTTAATTCTTTCAGAGGCTTCAATGTTGGAAACAAAACTATTAAATTTCTACTGTGAAAAGAAACATTTTTACCACATCCATTTCTTGGACTTGGTGTGGAAGAGAAATACATGCTAAGGCAGTATCACAGCATACAATTTTTTTGTTTATTCAATTTTTGGATGCAAAGGTAAATATCTCAGATGACTGAGAGACCTGTCTTTTATACATGCAACGAAGACACACAGTCTGAATTACAGTATTCTCCAGAGGACATCAAAGTGCAGTTTCAAAGAAAAAGACTGACAGAGGTATTGCATAAAACAACATATATCTAATCTAAACTTTTGCAAAAAACCCTCAAAACTATGCAGCACTAAACATCTCACTACAGGCTTAACAGAAACAATTTTAAGAGCAAATCATTAAGAAATAAAAGAATCACCCCAAATTTTTAAAAATTCATTTGCCTGGAGAATGGTGCCAGAACTCCCCAAATACGGCCAAAGGCATGATCTTTTCAGCATAATGCTACAGCAGTTGGAAATACAGAATAAGAATTATCCACTTGCTAGTTTCATCTAATTTAATAAGTATTCGTTTAAATTATTCTCTTAATGTAACGAGACATGAGGTACTTTTCACTATGCAGCTGTCTATAGAGAAAAAATACAATTTCTGTAAGAATATGTATCCATGCAGACCTTTCATTGACACACCACCAACAGAATTCATTCTTCACCCCGTCAGGAATGTTGACCTTCACTGTCAGGATCTTCAGATTTTCCCCTCGGTTAATGGCCAGAATCTGAGTGCAAACATAAATGGCAGAGACAGATGACACACAAAATATCCAAAAGATAAACTTATCAACATTTGTGTACGCACTTGCTTGACGTTCTGTAGCAAATCATGATGGTGGTACAGTAAATCAGTTCACAAAGTACTAGCATGTACAGATAATACCCACAATTTAAACACAGATTAAATCATGCTGTGGCAAAACAAATCATACATTTTTTTTCCTGGAGTCTGCAATCTCAAGATCCACTTTATCTTAAACACACTTATAATTCAAGTCTGCATAAATTTAGTTGGAGGAATAATCTTGTTTAATAACCCAAATTAAAACTCAAGAAATGAATTGAGAAGGGATTATAAACAGAACTACAGATCAAAAAAGAAAAAAAGTTACTCCGAAGCTTCAGGCTTCATTTTCCTTCCCAAGATCAATCCAAATTTAAAACTAATTATGAGTGGGAACTTGCGACACCAATGTAATCAGTCTAATTTGAAAGAGGATAGATTTTTGAGTTCTTCACACCTAGTTCATAAATAGCGAAAATATTGTAGAAACACACTTTACATTAATACTAATGCTCCAGCCTTAAAATGTATGCACATTTTTCTGGCAGTCTGGTAAACACAACTACGTGTTCACAATCTAAAGCTAAATCTGTTTGCACATAGGCTATATGTACACAGAGTTCTACTTTAAATGGAAGTCTGTGGCTCTGTATTTAAAATTGGGATCACAATACGAGTGCTGGATCCAGGAGGATGCTGGTGGGTATCCACTAGTCTGACCTCTCTAAGATGATGATGAGGGTTCATCTGAAGCAATCCTTATAGTATTTATTAAGAAAACTCACTGGTCAAGGGATTTTAGAAACAAGAGTTAGAAGCAGCTACAAATAAAAACCACATGTTTTTAGATTTTATTTCCCCTTCCAAAATACTTTAAAGTGCAAAAAAAAAAAAAAAGAAAAAAACCCGCTAGAAGTTGACATTCCTGTATGACTACACATGTTGCTGTATGTAGCAGGCCCTGAGCACTGTCACAACAGAGCATTCTGTGTCAATCATGAACTTTAATTCAATCACTAGTTAACTCAGACATGTCACATATGTTAAATACAATGGTTTAAAATGACTCCAGGACATAGTACCAATTTATATTCCTCAGCCTTACTGCTCCTGTGACATACCAGGCCTGACATATCATTGAACAACAAAGCTAATAATAAAGATTGCATGTGAAATATTATAGCATCTGGTACCTTGACTGCCAAAGCAAATGTTTTCATGTAGAGATTAGAAAGACACATTTTAACAAATCAAATGCTTTCATGTTTATTCTGATTTCATTTTTTTTTAAAAAAGAGAGAAAGTTAAATGTCAAGCTAAAATGAAATCAAAATGATGCCCACAACAGAGAATGCATCTGATAGAATTATAATGTCATCATTCAGCACACTGTTTGCAGGGTCAATATTTGCATCACATTTTGTTTCCTGGCACTCTGTCTGCAGAATGTGTCAGTCATCTGAACTTAAACCAGCTGTACTGCACTCACTAATATTTTTTACATCTTTATTCTTAAACAATCTGCCTATTCTATTCTGTGACATGCATTCAGAGAAGAACTGTCATCCAAGAAACACTCAATTAAGAAATTAATTACTTAATTTCTCCCCCTAAGATACTAAAGTGGGGTTGGGGTTCTTTTTGTTAGTTTTGGGGTTCTTTTTGTTGTTTTAGTTTTGTTTTTTAAGTAACAGGTTCAAATACAGCTATTTTATACACAAAGTAAGCTTTTCATTCTGGAGAAAGACTGTTCTCATGCAAGACTGGAACGCATCCAGGGGAGGGTTAATAAAAACATACATTTTTAAGAGAGTGAGAACAATAATTTGATCTAGTCACAAGACACATCAGACCTTATTCTGTTTAACAGAAAACTACAACATCCTTCATTTTGCATAGTTCTTCTCTGCGTTCCAGATTTACTTAGACTAACTGAATAAGTTTTGTATATTTTGCCAAGGACTTCAATTTCCAATTCCTTTTAAAGTATGAGATTGAAAATAGAGCACTTGCCTCAAACATTGCACTTTATTCATGAATTCTTTTCCTCCCACCAATTCAGTCATCTCCAAATAGAGAAAAGCAACCCCTAGGCGTACACAAACGCTGAACTGTTTACAATTAGTCAAAAAAAATCAAATAAACTCTTGAAAGACTTTCTTTCCTTAGCTGTTACATTGTTGGTATAGCTACCCAACTACATCCTAAGAGTCCAGTTAGGTTCTCCTTGCTGCCAAAGGAAGGAACTGTGGCTGAACCTCTTAACAGCAAAATGTTCCAGCTGGAAACAACCCATCCCATCATGTCAAAATCTGGAGTCAGCCTTTTTAAGCAAATAAGGTGGGTCTTTTTTTCTCCTTTCAGGTTCCGTATTTTAACTTTTTCAGTCAAACCACCTGACTCCATGCCTGATTATTTTGTGGCACAGAATGGAAGCCAGGACTACAACGTGTGCAGTGACAGCTGCAGAACCACAGAACTGTGCTGGAGCTTACTGTACACCAGTTTACCTCGCTGTAATACATGCTGCAAGGCACCCTCGTGGCTACAAATGCTTTGCTCAGAGATACAGCTCATTTTTTTAACAGGTAACATGCTGGTCTACTACCCATTGCTGTTAGTTACATAAAAACTAGAGCAGAGTTAGGGTTGTACACAGACCTTTAAGATTAAGCACTTCCATACTCAGGCAATGGCCAGTTCCAGAGCATATTTTATAGAATCCTTTATTTGCAACTGTGCAAAGAGATGATTTAAAGCCGACTTCTACTTTTGCCTCTAGCTAAATGCATTGAGAACACTTGTCTCTGCATGGTCATCAAAGGAGTAGCTTCAGAACAGTGAATTTTGCAAGTGTTTTTCAAACACAGCTATTAACCTGCAGTTGTGGGGGATTCGTAAATTTTATAAATCCCTCTGAGTTTCAGGCTTCCCTATATCTTTTTTAGGTATAAGCTTCTTTTTAAAATCCTGAACCAAACCAGAGAATTTTTTCACTTGAAGACATCTACACCTCTCCCAAACCACATTCAAGAACACATTTTTAGCAAGCTTTTTGGATGCACAAAAGAAGTATTTCTTCCAAGTCTTAGGTGAAAGAGAAACTGAGGACTTTTTGGTATTAAAAGGGATGGTTATAACCCACCCACCCCCCCCCCAAAAAAAAAAGAGGAAAAAAATGGTCATTTGCATCAGCCAGGAAGTAAGGTCAGGTAATAAAGAAATTGAAAGATATGAGAAACTTTCAAAAGTACAGTACTAGGTCTCAAGCTTAAGGAAGAAATGGCAGATAAAGAAAACACTTCTTTCTTTATTTCATCATCAAAACACAAAATGGGAGACAAAGAAAGTAACTGGAAAACTAACAAAGAACTAAAAATCAACAGAAATGAAAAGTTACAATCTTTTTACAAAGCAGGGAACTCTGCAAACCACACATGTCAGAGCTGATCATAAAATGCATTTCTTCCCCTCAACTAGTAAGAAAGAGCCCTGATGTATCTTGGGCCCTGCAATCTCAGTGAAGCACAAACAACTCATTTTTAAGATTAATAATAGAGAAATATTCAATATGTTAGAATAGGCAATAGCAGTAATATACAAATGAAAGACAACACGTAAGAGTGCAAAAACAGCCCATGATTACAGGACCACCAGCTGCAAGAATAGCGGTTATTAGTTCACTGGAGAGCCAGAATGGGAAAAGAAATAGACATTAAGATTAGTGCCAGACACAAGGAGAAATAGATCTGAAATAGATCAAGGTAGTCTTAACATCAAACAGACAACCTAAGGATGCATCCTGGATAAGAAACAGTTCAGCCACGTGGTCGGAGTGCTGACCAGGTTTGGGAAGTCTGGTTTCCAGCCCTGACTCTGGACAACAGTTTTCTCATGTAAAACAGGAAAAAAAAAAAAAAGAGGCCTCAAGTATGTAGTAAATCATACCATCATCCCATAAAACACTTATGCAAAGAGTATTGGATGCACATCTCAGTATTCACCACTATGAGTGCAGGAAAAACTAAACATTCTTTGACAGCCAAAGCATTCATTCAACAGCAAAACAATCTCCTGATGAATCTTTGTGATATGTCACAGTAGTCTAAGCGTACTCTGTTGACTTTTCCAGACTCTCTAGAAGCAAGATTTCACCAAATAGTTCCTGATAGAAATTCAGTAAATGTTCATACTGAGTACAAAAAGAACAATTACCAATTACCCCAAAGTGAACAAGGTACCTCTTCAAACATCTACAGAAGGCCTGTCTATTAAAATCACTTGTAGTGATAGTCTTTCACCTAACACCATCCATAATGCGAGGTGGGGCAAGGGTTTTAAGTCAGCCCATACGTGTTGTGAAATATTTCCTATAATAGATTCATTTCAACAGATGCAAGAAAATCCTTTATTAATTCAAAACATCACTGTTTTAAAATAGCATGCAGAGAGAAAATAAGAGCATATCATAGATATAAAAGGAAAAGCATTCTGCTGTAAAATAAGGCAGCCTTCTAAAAGAAAAGGACATTTCTGGTTGGAAGCAGCTAAGAGGCTCTCTTTTTGGTATGGGTTTGTTGTTGGTTTTTTTTGTTTGGTTTGGGGGTGGTTTGTTTTGGGTTTTTTTCTTAAAGGTAGGTAATTGTGACTAAAATAAGAGACAATTTACTTGGTGATTGATAATGAATCGGGTCAAAGGTCTTGACAGTTGCACTGAGCACATCATATTTCAACCTTTGAACTTCAGGAAGAGGGGCTGCCTAGCTATCAAGTCGTCAGCTAGGAAGTTTGCTTTGTCCCTCATTTCTTTTTCTAATCATACAGGTCTAGGCCTGGGGCTTTGGATAACCAAATACGCCTTACAGAAGGGAATACTAAGGACTTGCAAAACCACCCCATATTTGGGGTAGTGCACAGGATGTTCTCCGGAGCCTATTTCGATTGTTCAACTTTTACACAAAGTTGCTGCTGACAAGAGCTGCGCTTTTGTAGATCATCTTTGATTACAATTTTCTGAACCCTTCCCTGGTACTTCTCACCAGTTTCACCTGGCAGGTTTAGTGTCAAATGGCTAACAGCACTCTGACTTAGGGCTGCAGCAAGCATCCACAGGAAACAAAAAATAAGTTTAGACATGTTTGCCTTAATCCCACTCCTGATAACACTTGCTATGCACTTGTCATTGGGGGAACAGAGGGAGAACATGACATATGCTGAAAATAAATCACACCAATATTGAAATGTCCAATACATAAATGATTATGAATACTTGTTTAGTGAGAATTAATTAGACAGTGGACATACTGAATAAACAGCCCTCTGCTCGTTTCCTTAAAACGGAGATTAACAGCTTAGTCCTACATTTCAAGAACTCTATTACCTTTGATAACTGAAAAGCAAAATTAAGTATCTTTAGAATCAGTTTTAATCAACAAAACTCAAAAGCAAAACCATTTTTGCTACAGTTAAAATTCTAAGAAAAAAAGAAATTTGTAGGTATACCTGATGATGCTGAATGTTCTTGATACTGCAAGAAAACTCATGGTACAGTTGGAATTTATTGATGTCTTTTTCATTTACACTTTTAGATGACACTTTTGCCAAGGCTGACTGGATACAAATATACCTCTGCTGACATCTGCATAAAAGAAAAAAATGTTAATAAGGTATTTTAGCATGAAACTTGTAACAAGTCCTTAGTGCTTGTATTAAATAAAAATGAAGTTTGCAGTCAGCCTACTTACCAGTTATGTTAACTGTAATTACCTGCAGAACTGTCTTACATATCTTATGCTGAAACTGACATAACATATACTGACTGGAACAAACCAAGAGAAGAAATTCAAGCAGACCTTAAGAAAAGCTGAACACAGCCCTTCTCCTGAAGGCAATGGGTACTCAAAAGCCACCATCTGCACTTCAGTTTGGTCAACTATTTGGAGAAGTGGCAAAAAAAAAATTGTAGTTATCTATTTCACACAAATGCACATCTCTCTTGAATCTACCCAGCCTCACAATTAATTTCTTGCTTTGAGTACTCAACACCTATAAAAGTTTTCACTATTTTTAGGAGTAACAGGGATCCCAAGCAGACAGCTTCCTGAATGCTCCTTATGATTATTATACATACACTTTAGGATCAACAGGATAAACGTGTAGAATACTGTGTATCCAATTAAGGAGCTTCTAGTGGTCAAAAGAATGAAAGTGATAGTCTGGTAGAAATAGCACATTCTTTACAAAACAACCCTTTCACTGAAATGATCACATTGCTGTGCTCTTGATGAAGTTGGATATTACTCACGATAAACAGCAAACAAGAGTCATCTAAACAGAACTGAGCCAATTCAAACCAACACTACAAGTTCCTATGGCAGCACCTGTTCTTTGATAACCCTGTTCTCAGATGGCACACCGCAGAGGAAGAAAAAAAAACCAACAAAAAACAACCATGCAATTATTACTCTTTCCCCAATCCACCAGACATAACAACCTTGAAGTCATTTATATAATGTAAGAAAACAAATTCAGATAACACAGTCAAAGGATCAATAACTCCTGCTTTGAAAACAGTCAAATTTGTTTGCCTTACTGATTACCAATACCGAAATCAACCATCACCACACACTAAGTTACACTGACTGGTGCCAAGCAGTAAATTTTGGAGGAACAGCTTCAGCAGATGCACCTCTGAAAAGTTTTAGCTTGAAGGAAGTGCAAAGAGAGAAAGCTCTCCCTTACAGATCACGAACTGCAAGGGAGATGGGCTCTGTATGGAGCAGAGCCACAGAGAACGTGTCAGTCTTTGGGAGTCACAGGGTCATGCCATGCTCACAGCAGATGTCTCCTTCACCGATAGCCAGAAAAGCTAAATAAGATACCTCCAGCACAAGTAAAGGAATGAAACTAAATCAATCTCACAGTAACACTGTTTTCACATCATTTAAAATAAATTTGTTATGTATCTGTGCACCAGGAGACTGAATTTTATCATATAATCAGGAAAGTTTAGAGACTAAGAGTCAAACTTACAGTTTCCTGATAAAATCCAGTGTATCTTTATCTTTAGCGAAGATGTCAGCTAAAATATGCTGTACTCCAGCCTCTACTTCCTGGATAGTTGAAAGCCCTTAGAAGAAAACAGACTTAATTTTAAAAATACTAATATGAAAAACTACTTCATGCAACTGCATAAACACGAATAAAACATAAACAAGTTAAAAGAAAATTGATGGAATATATCAGACTGATTTGCAGAGGTTTCAATGAAGAATCCAAATTCATTACATTATTTTTTGTTAACTAAGCATCCTTTCCAAAACATCTGAAACTATTCTATTTTTAATGAGCCTAAAGTGACCAGTGCAGTATCGTAAGTCAAAATGACATTAAAATAAGAGTAAAATAGTATTTATTTCTTTCTTTGGTGCTAACAGATCTTGATATTTATGATGCAAATGAATTATTTGCAATAGTAAAATTGGATATTTGACTATATTTTTTGAGGTTGTAATAAAATGAGTAATTTCAGGAAAAATTTATAAAATTTTGCTACTTATATGGAAACTGCCTAAAATCTCTGTAGGCAATCCTGTCTTTTCTCTGTGTGACAGTTTTGTATTTCCACTAGTTTGTAGCAGGAGTTTGCACAGTGACACTTCTGAGGTTAGGGCACCCTCATTCTCTCTCACAAAACACTGTTCAAACAGTTAAGTTATAAAACATCTCCGTAGACAAAGTATTCTAAAGAGACAATAACAGCATCATTCAGCTTTCCAATACACAAACCTATCCCTCACTTCAAAAGGCCAGAAGAAGTGGCACAGTATTCTCCTTAGCAAAGCAGCTGAACTGGACCAGAACCAGAAGGTAATGAAACTGAAAATGACATCTTGTATTTTAAATCAATATATCTAACCCTGTGTCTAGCAAGTCAGTAACAAATGCTTCAGAGCAAAAAGCAAGAATTATAGAGTTGGCAGATGCAGCATTAACTGTCTCGTTAAATACACGTTATTTTTCACTCTGCTGTCTGATGGGCTAGCAATATCGATATAGAAAGAGCTTTATTAATATCTTTTTAAAAAACCCACATAGCTCTAATAACTAATATTTGTATTTAATCCAGAACCCTGCTTCTGATTGGGCTGTAGAGTCACACACTATAAAAAATTAATCTTGCCCCTTTTTTAAGAAGGGGAAGCTAAATTTACCTGCAAGAAAGAAAAATTAACAAGTGAGAATAAGGCTATGTTATTATATGCCTGAACTCAACAGAAGCTGTGGAATTTGGATCCTTAGATCTAGGACTTAGTGTTTCTTACGGTAAAAGTAATCTCATGTCAGAGCACAAAGCTAAGGGAATTATAAGACATGCATTACATTGAATATGAATTGAGACACTCAAGCACCAGAAGTGTACACGGCAATGCTATTTTAATTCTAACAGAGAATTTGAAAATAGAATAGGTGAAAACTGTTCAAGATTAAAGAATCAATCAAAACCTTCCCACTCAACATGCACCACTCACATGGGCATTGTACTATGTCAATTGCAAAATGAGCACAGATTTGTGCAGTCAGAGAAATATTTGACCATGTGTACAACTAAAAGGAAAAACAAAGTTTTCTGGTGAGCCTGCTTCCTTAACTTTCAAATATCTGGCTTTGAAACATGAACTGATGTTTTTATTTCAGTTTATTTTTAGTACAAGTTTAAAAACACTGAGAATTTAAAAGAAATGAATATTAAGATTTGCTGAAAACTTTTCTGTATGGAAAATGGCTCATCCCTTTAAAAAAGCTCCCTCTGATCTCAAGCTTTATATAGGTTGTCAAACTGGCTCTCAAGTTAATAAAAGTGACCCAATTCATAGATTTATGTAATTTCTGATGTGCCTTTGAAATGAAAACCATTATATAAACATAAGAAAAAATATTTTTAGCACAAAATTGAAAATAGGTGTACTGACTTTCAAAAACTGAAATGTTTATGCTGCAACAAATAGCACTTCCTTCTGAATGCACCCTACATAATTTATTTGGGCTTTCACAGTGAAAATTTTCTTTTGGCTCTCTAGACTCTGCCAGAATAATCTACGTACTGCTATACGAAGTAGTGACATATGTTAAAATGCAGTAATTAATTGGAATATTTGGTAACTGATTTTCAATGCAAAGTTAGGCTAATTTTATAAAAAATATTTAAATAAAGTAAAAGAATAACTGAAGTGGGAAGAGTATGGGTCAGCCTCACTAAGGAAGTTCAGTACCTTTATGTTAAAATTCAAAATGCAAGTGTTGGGGCAGGCAAGAGTAAAATTGTCTCTCAACACCATAGCGAATGTTGCTGCAGTCTTTGTATTTCATTGTCAGAGATTGCCCCCTACAGATACACCCATAACTGCATTTACAAATATACACAATTTTGCAGTCTGTATGTGACTATCATATTGTTATGTTCAAAGTTCAGAAATTACATCTTCTCCAATCCCTACTGCCATTCAGTAACAAAATAGATCTCTCACTCATTCCCAATCACCAAGGCCAGTTTTTATTAAGATATGCTTTGATGGGTGACAATAAAGAGTATGAGCATAAGCCCCTTGCTACAATCAGCATTGATTCTTCATTAAACGATTTGAATAGAACCATGGAGAGGTCTCAGGTGTGTGGTGCAGTTCCCTCTCTCTTACCAATAAATACAGATGTCAACTAGAACATCTCCAGATTTCTGTCTCTTGTGTACCAGAATTATTACTGTTTACAATACAAAAAGACAGGAAAGTTTGGAGGGCTGTTGCACTAAATGTAAACTCTTACCACATGCTGCTAGAAGAACTGTTGAATTTAAAAGAGTTGCATAACTTCCAGCAACATCAGAACAATTAAAGTGATTCCCTTTTTAAAATATTTTCAGACATTTAAAACATTACCGCTCATAGAAGCAGAAGCACTTACCTTTAGTATTGGGTTTAATGTATGAAAAGAGATTGAGCTCCATAGGATTCTGCAGGAGGGAGAGAGCAGCAGGTTCTAATCCCAACTGCTTGGCCCTCTGGGCTTTGGTACCTTTACTCCCAGTTTTATAAGGTGCAGACTTAAAACAAACACATGAAAGCCACAGTTACTAAAACGCAAGGAAATATTTCACTCATGCTATGTACTTTGCATTATGCACCATTTAGTTACATGAGATAACATTTAAACTAAGGATTATCCGAAAAAAACAAGTGTACTGACCACGTGGTCTAATTCTTCCAAAGTTCTGCAATTTAATAATGCTGTTAAAAGGCATCCAGATAATTTCCCTTCTTTCTTCAACTTTTGTATCATTGTATGAGTCTTCTTTGCAACAGTACTAAAATGCAAGAGACTGATATTAACCATCACATTTCACAGTGGATTAGAAAGACTATTGATTGTGACCTTGATTATTACACTGCTGATGCTCTCTGAAGATCATATCTCATGCTAATCCTCAACAAACCCAGTCTGATAATCCAAAAGAGTTTTTAACTATTGCTCTCTTCCTCCAATTTGTTCAAAAGTGTATCAAAATATCTTGTGGTAGCTTTAAGAAAAAACATGAAAACAATGCTCATAATCATTACTGCTACCTAGATTTTTGCAAGCTTACTGGCCTGGAAGACAAATAAAAAGGCCCTACATTAAATCCATGTCGATGAGCACTTACAGCTGTCATTCATATCAAGATAGTTCTGCAGCATCAAGTACAGGGTATCAGATTTTGAACTCTTAGACCTGCAATAGGATATCTGTGAGCAATGGTAAGCAGCAAAGGCATTTTGTTATGATTTAAATTATTTGTTCAGACAAGAAGTCTCTCTTTGGAAACACTTTCAAGCCAGGGGATAGCAGGAAGTACAAGGAAGACACCATGTTGACAGAACAGCTAGAAAGTCGGTTCCCTTGCCATCTCAAGAACATACAGCCACTCAAAAGCAAGAAGGAATGACAGCATTCTTATCGACTGCTGCAGCAAGCTTTGCTGATCATTTCTTTGCTGCAATGGTCTGAGACAGTTTAGTCTGCCTTTGTGGTACACTGCAACCTCAAGTGGTGCTCTTCACTAGAGGCTTTTCTGTTCCAACCAGGGAGTCAAGGGAATCTTGGTGATTCTTTTTCTAAGGGTGCAGCTTACATCTAACAGGCTACATATCTCCAGAACCAATAAAGTACTCTTTTAATAAGAAGTTTCTCTCTGCAGTTTTAGTAATTTTTGATTAAAAATTTGAATTGGCAATTTGGCAATTAAGTAACAAGAAATCTAGCATTAAGTAAAAAAAAAAACCAAACAACTAAACAAAACCAGACAGGTAGCCTGTAGGAGAGCTGGGGAGGGACTCTTTGTCAGGAAGTGTTGTGAAAGGACAAGGGGTAACGGTTTTAAATTGAAAGAGGGGAGATTTAGATTAGATACTAGAAAGAAATTCTTTACCATGAGGGTAGTGAGGCACTGGAACAGGTTGCTCAGGGAAGTCGTGCATGCCTGATCCCTGGAAATGTTCAAGGCCAGGCTGGATGGGGCTTTGAGCAACCAGGTCTAGAGGTAGGTGTCCCTGCCCATGGCAGGGGGGTTGGAACTACATGATCTTTAAGGTCCCTTCCAACCCAAACCATTCTATGATTCTATGATAATTACCTCAGTTTTAAACATTCTTCTTTCCTTTACAATTGCTGCGTATACAAAGTACCAAAACAAGGGACACAAAAGCCTCAGCAGGCTGTTACTAACCTTACCCACAGATACCTCCCTGCATTAACTTACCGTAACTCTTCCAATGTTTGCTGCACTTCCCGCAAAGCATCGGCCTCCAGATTATTGATGAGCTCTTTTCGATACCGAGCAATAAAAGGAATCGTGTTTTCTTCTTGAAAGAGGCGAATTAAGTTTGCACATACCCATGGTTCCACATTTGTTATTTCTGACAATGCCTGTACACCAAACATTTAAGAAAGGTGATAGATTGCTTTAAACAGCCTCTTGCTCAAAGTTCATGAGCACCCCCAGAATACTATGCTGGCCAGCAGGGACTACTGTCCTCCCTAAGACAGGACATCAGCCTTTCCATGCATCCAGCCACACACTCAATATTTCAGCAAGACACGCAGCAATCAATGCTTCCAGAAACTTGCAAGTGCAGAAAAAAAATGCAGTATACAATGTCTCTTGGGAAGAGAAAAAAAAAACCAAAGCAATGAAAAAAAAAATAAAGGCAACAAATTGCACATGACAACTCAGAACTTTTTGTTTAACCATGAAGTGTGTTAGTGTTGGTTTAAAAAAAAAACCAAAAACATAAACAAAACCCCATAAACCCAGAGCTGACCCAAATCCCACCCCACTAATAACTGGACACTATGATGATAGTACTAAAGGTTTCAAGATGAACCAAGCCTCACAAAGTTAAACATGATTTTGTAAAACTTGGGCTTTCTAAAGATAAAGTTATAGTGTAGTAATACAGAATAGAGGACAAACTGTGTAAGTACCTTAGCTTAGTAACATTTTAACTAGCACTGTTTGTTTGTGCTCTGCTACAGGTATTGCCGTATAGAGCTGATATAAAAGACTTTCAAAAGTTTTATTCTGAAGCCTAAAAACATAACTCCTGTGCAATCGCATTCACTGCTTTTAGAGCAATACAAAAAAAAATAATCAAATTCTCCACCTGCATTTTCAGGAATATTTTAGAAGACTCAGGAACAAGTTTTAATACTTTCTTAAGCAAGCAGTACTAAGGATGATGAATAGGATTGTATCCAATCTATTCCCATTCTGTTCATATTGAAATCTTCCATAATCACACTCAACGTCCCAGAACAGGAGCTATCCTAAAGCTGTCTGCATCTGAACAGCTTCAAACTTAACATCTTACAACAACAAAGATGATATCTCCCCTGATGTCATTGTTGTTCCAAGAATTCAATCTCCTCCTTGATGGTGCTGTGAATTGATATCAAATGAGTTTCTACAACAAAACAATCCACATGAACTAAATCTTAAATTCTGAAGCTGTGCACACAGACATTCCACATCTTTCAATATCGCTTCCTCCAACAGTTTCAGCTGACTATAGCCACAAAAAAACCCTATGTGCTGATACAGAGGAAACATGCAAACTGTTACAGGCAAGCTTTGTACTAAAGACTGCCTAAATCACAGATATTAGAATAACGTTAAAGTTTGAAGGTTTAACAGTTACCAAGGAACATTTACTTTTATACATGTATTATGACAATTTAAGCTAAGGTTAAATGACTACTTAACAGCACAATGACTCTCTGACACTCCAATTGATGCCAGGAGGACTGAAATTGTATGTTAAAGATTCTAACTGCTAATTATGTAGGAAATGGTTTCATTGACACCTCAGAAAAGGAAAAGATCTCATACCTGTACAATATCCCAGTTCATTTCAAATTCTTCTTTTACTTTGTTGCCTCCTAGATTTTTAACTGGCTTTCCTTCAGGACATGTAGTTGACTTAATCTTTTTTAAAGGTGGTTCACCAGATGCAAAATCCTCCTCAGATTTCTCATGTTTCACTTGATTTCCTTCTACAGGAACACTTGTTGAGGGTTTTTCATCACTCTCTAAACTCTTTGCATTCTTCCCTTGGAATGAGTTTATTTCCATTTTTTTAGGCACTTGTGGCTTTTGATTTAAAGTTTTTGGTTTAGTGCCTACATCTTCTTCCTTAGGTTTTAGAAGTTGCATTCTATTATCTTCTGCAGGAGCAATAGGCAAGGATACATCCTGTCAAAAAGGCATTGAAACAATATTAAGCATTGACTGTTATGAACTGGTTCAACATTTCAATTAAAACCTAGAAGACTGGATACCAGACATCATTTCCCCAAGTGATGTCTCTGTCTGGCAAGGAAATCCCAAGCCAGAAATCAAGTAACCTGAAATATATCTTGCATGGAAGAAAAGGTATATACATACCCCAGCAGAACTGTGATTTAAAAGATCAAATAAAGTTATCCTGGGAAGATATTTAATTGGACTCTCCTTCAGAAAACACTGAACTACAGTCCTTGCCTCCACTCATCTCAACAAAATGGGGAGCTGGGGGGCAGGTAAGCACTCTTCTATTGAGGTGTTTGGTGCAGCACAGGAACTGTAACTGACATTTGGTCTGCTAAGATATTGTTTAACATTGGACAAGCAACACCTTCTTTCCTGAATTTACCCATAGATCTTCTTCAGAGTCCAAGAATGTATTTCTCAATATGTCACGTATGTCAAAATAGTCAGAAACATTAGTACAAACCAGAAGGACTGTCTTCTGTCATGATCTGGTGTTAATCTTTGACAGAAGCAAGTAACCTCTGATAGAGGTGCATCTTACATCCATCATTATAAAAGTCAAACAGCCATGCAAGCAAACATGAGTATAGGCCTTCATTTTGTACCCAGCTAGTGAAAAGGTAGAAGACACCAAAGGTGCAACACAGAAACCAGCAATATTAGAGTGTTTAGATTTCATTACAGAAAGAACAGAGACATTTATTTATTTTAGTTGTGGAAGAGATCTCCAGTAAAAACCACGTCCCATTATCATTGGCCAAAATTTTAAAGGAGGGCCCTTAGATCCACAACACTAAAATACATAAGAAAGCCGTGTTTATCAAATATACTGAATGTTCACAGTAACAGCAGAATCAGATGAGCTGATCAGACTCAGGAAACCAAGCAAACCACAGCTGGAAAAGTTCTGCCCGTGTTACTTGCCACAGTAAACAAATGTCTCTTGCTTACAGATACTTACCTTCTCCTCTTTTATTGCTACTTTCTTGACCTTATTCCTGGCCCCAGCTGACCGTAGAGCAGCAGCTTTAGGTTTTGCCTCATTTTTCTTTGGCAACGGACGCTTCTTGGCGATTTTGCTTTTTGGCTCCCACTCCTCCTCTTCTTCCTCTGATTCAGAGCTCCTGAAAAACAAATGAATGAACAATATTGCTTGTGAGAAGAATAAGAAAAAAAAAAACAAAACCAAAAACATAAGCAAGCCAGTCTGTTTTCTGACATGAAAGGAAGTGAAGAGGAAAAATGAACAGAAAGGTACACAGGGTCAACAAATACAGGTCTTTCATGCTGTTGCACAGCTAACGGCTGGAATAATTTACCAAGCTTTCCTGAAGCTGGTCACTGGGATGTGTACACATCTGATTCTGTGTGGACAACTGGCAATTCATTTAATTCAGTTTCACCCTATCTTCACTGTGAGCATGAAACAGCATAGGTAATTTGTGTTTTATAATTCAAGCTTTGTGCATTAAAACTTTTTAATCAGCATCTCAGAAAGTGAGTGTTGCTCTTACACAATTGCTCATGCTTAGCATAAATGTTTAAAAAAAAACCTTAAGGAAAAAAATAATCTTACAAATTTAGAAATGAAGGTAGTTCATCTTCTGATGTACGGGCTTTGGCTTCAGATTTCACCCTCCTTGGTAGAGATGACATCTACCAGAGACAAGAAGAGAGAAACAGAACATTTGGTTGAAGTTGCAGTCTCTTATTCAGCCCTTTAACTCACTGCCAAGTGTGCCCTCATAATGTCTTCACCATCACAAGTTTCCTCTAGAGCAAGTTCAGATTTCTTAGTATCCAAGAATTTAGGCCATAGCAGCACACATTCAACAATCTTTTCAACTGAGCAAACAGTCAAGCCAGCACTATAACCTCTCAAACTATTTTTCTCTTCAAATGGAGGTAATTATCTGGCTTGCATGTAAAGCTATCCCACCAAAAAGAGTACCTGTTCTCAGACATACTATTGGGTGTCACTTATATATCGCACATAATAAAAACAATGACTTTGAAAAAGATGGTCTTTAGCATATAGGAAGTGCATAAAACAATTACCAAAGGTAAAAAGGAAAGGCACACATTCTCCTGACTCAAGATTCATACCTACAATAGCTGCATTTCAGTTAATCAGTTATGGAATTTTTGGCAATGGCTAGGCCTGTGAACTTCGATAATCACATTTGGCAGTTCTAGTTAAGAGAATTTTAGGTACCCTTAAAATTTTACCTGCTAGAAAACTGAAATTCAAAAATATACAAACAAACAGAAAACCATAAAGCATTTCTATAACTATAACATTCATAAACATATTTTACCTATATCTGGTACATTTTCATCATTCTTCACATTCTATTCTCCAACGTTTCGCACCTTGACATCTGATCCAGCCTTACCACCACAATGCAAGCCTTAAGGTCCCATGTTTGCACATACAAATTGGATGAGTATTTTGCAAAGGGCTATTTAACTCAAGGGCGAAACGCACTTTACTCCAATTTCATTCTGGCCTCTGTTCAAGCACAGAAGCAAAACTATTGTAATTTTCAGCACCGCAGTGGAAGGAGGACTGTTGAGGTCTACATCAAACAGCACTAGCTATTAGCTTGCTTGCAAAATGCCTTCTTGTAGCAATCACCATGGTCAGTAACAGCACTTTTGTGTTGTTCCACTGACTGAAAGCCCATTACGTGACTGGAGAGAATACATGTCTACCACAGGAAAACAGAAATGACCACAGAACCAGAAAAGTATTACTCACTTTCTTAGCTTCCCAGGTGACTTCTCACTGTCAGTTCTGAGACACCTGCAACTTTACCCAGCCACTCTGCTTCTCTGTTTTTCTTTGCTCTTTATTGCTGAACAGTCAATATCATAATCCTGATTTGTATATTTATTTCCAATACCTCAAAGGCATGAAAATAACATTTCCATTTTATACTGTACTTTCATCTGTGAATGGGAAAAACAAAAAAACATTATTCATGTTAGCAACACCAAGATTTCCAGAATTAGGTGTATCTGATCCATTTTTTTGCAGGCACTTTTTACATGGTCAAGTCTCACCATTCTCTTTTCAAACTAGATATTTAGCTTACAATATCATTATCAGTCATGCTTCTTCAGCTAATCCAACTAGGTGAGGTCTTTTTAGTGTTCTAGGCAATCTCAGAAGCCAGTGATCAGCTTTTAAACACTCCAACCAGCTTCTTCATACTTACCCACTGAGCCACAGCCAGGAAGAAGGAAAAAAACAACAGGCATTTTCTCTCACTTAAGGTAAGCATTCTCCCTATGTAACACCACTCTCTAAACTTCCCTGACAGTTTTGGACACTCAGCACATCACGGTGATAATTTTCAGCCTTACCCAAAAGTCCAGGTGCGAGGAAAGCCTCATCTGGAATGTCTTTTTTCTGCTTATATTTCCCTTTCACCTCAAGTGGCCAAGGGCAGGATCTCAAAATATCCCAACATTTATATCATTACATGAAGTAAGATTACAGCAGGAGTAAAGCTTAATCTGTAAAATTAATTGTACTTCCTGCCATTCAGCACTGGTGACTGACTTAACTCTTCACATCAGCATACGAAAAGGAGGTGAGCTCCTCAGTTTGTGAAACCAGGCATTTTCCACATTCTTCATGAACAGATTAGTATTTGCTCCTACATCCTTAAGTCTAAATCTTCTTGTCTTCATACAATGCACTGAATGAAGTAGAATTAGCACATAGCAAATATAGAAATGGCATAGGAAAGCACGAAATAGAACATGAAGCGGTATGTAACAAGGCTAAGTCTTTATGGGACACTTCAATGTTTGATGGTGTTTTTTTTCTTTTGATTTCTTGGATTTTCACTTCAAAAAAGAATTAGATCATCTTTTAAGTGTTTGTTGCAGTTCTTCAGAAAGCAGGAGAAGTATCAAACATGTTTGATCCAGAAGATCAAAACTAAGACCAGCACAGACTCTGTCCCACTCATCAATATTGTGTCAGTTCTTACAGATGCATAATGAGTTGGGACTGGCCTCAGATACATAAACACCAATTTTAATTATATTATTGATCTACTAAATATTCTTGAAAAGAGTGGTAACTTTATTCATAAAGGCTTTTGTAACTGCACTTAATTTGAACTAAGGTAAGACGCAAATTTAAAGCGCAAAACTTATTTCAGAATAACTCTCCATAAACAGACAAGCCATGGTCAGAAGCCAAAATGGAGTTCTACAGCTCAAAATAAAAGCCCAATACCAAAGAGCATCTGTGAGATAAATGCCAAACACGGGCTATCACAAACGAACAAAAACATCCCAGTATTTCACTGTGAGGAGGAGCCAAGTCATAACCACCTCCTCTTCTAATAATGTACACACCAAGCTAGCTATACTTCATATTTGTAGAAAAAGAATCTTGCAGTTGCTACATATATTCTTTCTGTTTACAAAGAATCATGTTTTTATTCGAATCCACAAAAGTACTTCTGATTTGATTCCAAATTGCCAGACAGCTGTCTGCTAAATTTTCCTCCTGAGCTGCCTGTGCTAGGGTGTGCTAACACCTACAGTTAATGACTAAGAAAAACAGTCCTTCTGTGATTCACTGCAGAGGGGGAGGCAGGGAGAGGATGAAAAAGCAATGAGGCTAAATGCCACTGATGATGATGAATAACTATTACAGATTTTTTTTAAAAAAAGCTTAGAGACAGTCCCTGAAGTGAGGCTGGAAGACTCAAGAAACAGGCAAACACTGTTACACTCCACTAGAGCTATCTACAATGCTGACTGCACTTGACCACATGACAAGGCAATCAAACAAGCTGTCACCTGCTCCATGCTCTGCTTCTACAGGGACATGATCCCCCATGTCTCCTGCCTTGAGTGTTGAGGGACCTAGGAAAAGCTTTATTTAACCTCCCACAGCATGCTAGGACAAAACAGTGTGAAGTTAGCCACTTATCTCCTATTGTATTTTCCAGATAGACTGACATCACCGGGAAAAATTCCTTAATCTCTTTCTTCCCTGTCACCTCCAGGTAAGCACACTCAAAGGGAGATATGGTTTCTACCCTGAGAAAAGCTTGAGAAACCCTGAGAAAGACCTGTGTCTGCTTCCCAAATCCAGACAAGTCCCACAGCTGTAGAAGAGCTGACTACAAAGCTGACAATTTAAGAGTAATCAATTTTTTTCTAGATCAGAGAGATCAGAGCAAACTTGTTTCCCTTCCTGTATCTGTGTTGAGTATTACTGTACCTTATCACGGGAGCTCACACTGCTTGACATCTCCTGTACTGTACATCACAGTATCCAGTGATGTGTGCAACCTATCCAGCCACCCTCTGCAGGACTCCACTGGCTTGCCAATCGGCATATTGAGCTCTTGTAAGAACTCTGTTCTAGAAGCTCTCCTCACACCTGAGGCCAGCAAACTTCCAAGTAATATTTGCTAACAATTTTTTTCTTTTTTTGTGTATGCTGTCAGAAACTTCGCTGTAATTAAAAAAAAATATAAATCTGTTCTTTAAAGAAGAGCGTTCTTAACAATCATCTCATGAACAGTATCCTAGGTCCATGTCAGGCAACATGAGCTAGGCCCTGGAAACTTTGGCCTTGCCCACATACTTAAGCTCCCAACTCCTGTTCCATTTCAGATCTATCTGTATATGATCTTCCATTTCTGTGTGATAGGCTGAAACCTTAACACTGAACCTTCACACTGAACCCTTCATCCCCTATTCAAGGGATGCTTTCGCTTGTCCATCTTCCAGATGGCAGCATGCGGTATGAAGCATCATTGCTTGAAGCACCCAAACTCTCTTTACTTCGCACTCTCAGTAATCACTACAGCCTTGCTTCACCACAAAACCCAAAGCAGTTACAGCATGTTCTTCAACAGTACTTCCCCTTAAAAAAAGAAAGACTTCGCAGAGCTATTACACTCGCCAGGGAAGAAGAGTTGAAGTTATTTAACTCATTGCTCTTGTAGATGAATGTATCTCCCAGGTCTACTCTCCAAATAGTTTGGCATCAGTTTTGTTGCCAGTTCTTTTGTTCCCACCATTTCTATTCTCTGCTTCCAATGCAGAGCTCCACAACACACTTGAGCTATCCCAAGGGCTGTAAATAGCACACTTCTCCCTGCCTGTCAGCTACTCATTAAAATAAGGCTAGTGTAGTTCAGTGTTGGGCTTGCCAGGAGTAAAGAAGAGTGACAGGGTAGCTCTTAGCATATACTTCCCTGCACAGACTCTTAATGTGGGGATACACAAAACATACAGCAAGGAGGTAATCATTCCTCTGGTCTCTCTCCCCAAATAGGCGTCCTAGGCTGCATGTAGAATAAAAGCAGAGCAAGGCTTTAAAGGCTGTATTATGTTGGAGAGCAATCCAAGTCTCATTTACAGATATTCTCTTCAACCTCCCTATTCATACCAAGATACAACCCATTAAGAGTAAATATCATATGTGAATGCAGGCAGCATAAGCCACTACTTGCCGGAAGAAAAGTTTAATAATAGTTGTAAAGTAATTAGATTAAAAAACTGCCAATTTTCAGGGTTGGAAATTCCTCCAGTAACCCCAATAGACTGTCACATCTGCTACAGGGCACTTTAGAAAAAAAATGTAACAGTTGAAGGTTACAGAAAAGATTATACTTTCACAGTATGATCACATTAATCTCACTATGGCAAATAGTAATCTCATAACACTACTACATTAAATCACACAAGCCCCTCATAGCAAAATACACACCTGAATATCAACAAAGTCTATTGCACCCTACAACTTAATCAAATAGACTTGTCTACCTGAAGGTACAGGATTTTAAAAAAACAAACAACACAGAACCAAAAAACCACAACACCAACACCACATGTATACATGGAAATTAACATCATTTCAGTAACTGCAAAAAAAAAAAAAAATCCCTGTCCAGCAGAAAAGGACATGGAACCTTCTAAAGCCCTTTATCCAGTTAATCTAAAGTTGGGTGTTCCTTCCAGAAAGGAATTCTGTCTATGCAGGAAGCTCCTCAAACTTTGCTCTGCAGCTTCTGCTGTTCTAGCATGAAAAAAATAGCAAGTATAATAGAAATTTACATTTTAGCACACAGTACTAGCCAAACAACAGTTTGGCATCTGGGGCAGGACAGTAAAAAACACTCTGAATCCCACAAATCAATTTCAGATCCTTATCAGTAGCAGCAGAATGGCCCACTTCAATAATTCAATGATGTTAGTACGCCTCCATTGCATGCTAGAATAACATCCTAAGAAGAAATCAAAATGTGACCATACTGTCAGCAGCAAAAGGACAATGGTAGGGACTTGTATGGAAATTGTTCTATCACTCCAGAAGGTTTTTAATCAGCTGTAACAACTAAGTTGTACTTCAAAATATAAATCAAACTTACTCCAATCCTCTCAGGGTTGAAACCTTGGAGAACTCCCAGACACTTTTGCTCAGAGCAGCTGGTGCAGTAGAGTTCCAAGGACTTTTCCTGCACAAACCCAGTCAGGCCTGCCTGAGAAAGGAGTCAGAGACACAAATCAGGAGACTCCACTGCTAATGGAAAATTACAGCCAGAAAGAAAAGGGAGAGACATATCAGGTACGCACATACAGCAAAACAGTTCCCAATGCTAAATAAGAAAGGAAAAGGTGTAAGACTAGTAGGACTACCACCTACTGCTACTAGTTACAGAAGTACCACCAAAAAGACAAGCCACCAAGGTTGTGCCCTTAGAAAGTATGCTCTCCTCCAAGTCTCTTCCTGTAACTAGCGGTCCCACTGGGAAAAAGGAACCACCCATGTTACGCAGCAGCCTGCCAATGAATCAGAAGAGGGGCACACAAGAAAGTGGGGGAACAAACACTTTCCATGCACTTTTTTAAACCACTTATCCCAAACCACCTATGAAAACCGACAACATTACCCAAAATGAGGGGGAATACTGCTTCTGATTCAGTAACAGACTGCCACATCACATGCAACTACGCTTTTCCTCCAACCCAGAAAACTAGCCATAAGGTAACACTCCCATCCCATCAGGATGTTTTCACTCCTGAAGGACACAGGAGATGTGCATCTGTTCTTCATGCTGACTGCCACAGCAGAGCTTTATCACACCAGTAACGCTCATTTCAGAGTCTTGCAGGCACAAGGGCAAGTTGAGAGTAAATCACTGTTTGCTGCTTGGTGAATCACTATTATCCAAATCACTGCTTTCCGGCCCAGAAACGCGACCGACCTTAAAATGCACTTTAGATACTTTGAAGCCCTATCCTTCCCCAGGCAACGCCCCGCTTTCCTCAGATCCGCTGGCAGCATTCACGAGGAAGCGCTAATTGAGGTAAATTTCACCCTCCTCGCCTGGGAAGGGCACCGGTTCCCACGGGAACGATCCCTCCCAGGAGCCCCTTCCCGCCCCCGAGGGAGGGGGGGCACGGCGGGCGGCCCAGCGAGACCGGGCGCCTTTCATGCCCCATCCCGGTGGGTGCCCCGGCCCCCCCGGGGCGCTGCCGCCCGCACCCCCGGACCCGCTCGCCCGCCCCCTTCGGCTCTCGCACAGCGGGACCCGGGCACCCCTCCAGGGCGAGGGCGGCCCCGAGCCAGCCTTTCCCCGCCCCGGGGCAGAGGCGGGGATCAGGAACGGAGGCCCGGGAGGAAAACAGCTCGCTTCCACCTCAACAACCCAGACAACAGGAAACCCCCCGCTCGCCGGCGCGGAGGCCCCGCAAGCCGCTGCCCGCCCTGCCTCGCCCGGGCCCGGCAAGGGGCGGGAGGCTTCCCCCAACGTTACCCCCTGCCGCCGGCTGCCGCGTTTGAAAGGGCCGCCAGGGCGGCCATGGCGGAGCCGCCCGCCCGACGCGCCGCGGGGAGGAGCAGGAAGCGGCGGCCGCGCCGCGCCGCAGGAA